CCTTTGCGGCAACATGGATGCAGCTGGAGGCCACTATCCTAAGCAAATGAATGCAGGAACAGAAGCCCAAACGCCGAATGTTCTCACTTATAAGTGGAAACTAAAAGTTGGGCACTCATGGACATAAAGGTGGCAGCAATAGACACGGAAGAGTATCGAGCAGGGAGGGAGGAAGACAAGGGTTGAAAAACTAACTGTGGGTACTATGTTCAGTATGGTGGTGACAGGATTAATTGTACCACAAACCTCAGCATCATGCAATATACCCAGGTAACAAACCTGTGCATGTACCCCTCCATCTAAAATAAAAGTTGAAATTCTTTAAAAAAGAGAGAGACAGAAATTAATTAGAATTTCTCACTCCAGGGCCTCAGTTTCCCCATCTGTCAAAAAACGCACGTAGGATGATTTAGAAGGCCAAGTGCTGTGTGGCTTCCACACCTGACCTTCCACAATCTGCTTATTCTCCTGTTGTGATGGGCCCCCTGTCCTGGACCCTTCCAACACCAGCTATGTGGTCCTGGTCCTGGGCCCCCTGAGCCTTTCATTATAGATCATCCTGATGGGTCCAGAGAGTATATGAAGAAGATGGGGCTCGGGATATGGTCCAACTGTGGGATTAGATCCTGGCACCACTCCTGGCCAGTTATGAGGCCCAGAACAATTTTCTTTACCTCTCTGAGGCTCAGTTTCACCACCTGTAGAGTAGGAGTGATAACACCTCCCCAAAAGCACAGGAGAGAGGGTTTGCAAAGCTCTAATTCCAGCCTCTGGTTCATCACAGATGCTCTATCAACATCAGCTTCAAGGATGTGAGCTTGATAAACACAATGAGAAGGCGTGAGACATGCACCCAAGTCAACGTCCATTATCCACGGAGAAGTCATTGCAGACAGGCTCTCTCCAGAAGCTGTGGCAACTCTGATCAGTCAGAAAGAGCTCAAGGAATGTGTGCTCCTTTGAATATTTGCTTGAGTTAATCAGGGAAGGAGAGCAAGAAAACAAAAGGAATTTTCAGAGTAGGACAGGACTTGCAAACTCAGAGCCATGAGGGCCAGGGAGGTGGCAGATTACAGGGCTAGCTATGAAATTGAATTAGTAATTATTTGAGTGAATGGCACCAGAGACATGGAAACTAGAGGTGCTTCCCTTGGAGGGAAGGATGGCAGACCCAAGATCCCAGGTGCTTCGTTCAAATTCCAGCTTGGCCACCCACCAGCTGTGCAAATTTAAGAAAAGTGCTTTGCCTCTCTGTGCTGCAGTTTCTCTATCCATAGAAACAAATTTGCAGATAAAAATACTACCTACCTCAAAGGGTTGCTCTGAAAATTCACTATAATACATATAGCACAAACATCAGTGTCCAGCGCAGGGTAAGCCCTGGGGATGTCACTGTGGCTGGCTTCTGTTTCCATCGTATGATAACAGCACACAGTCTGAATCAGCCTCTGTGTCAGGCAGTGTGGTCTGCACACTAGTGCCATCAGCATTACTCCAGAGCTCATTAGAAATGCAAATATGCGGGCTTTACCTCAAGACCTACCCAATCATAAACTCTGCATTTAACACCTCCCCAAAAGCACAGGTGCGAGGATTTGCAAAGCTCTCATGGGAGCCTCCAATTACAGGTCAGGCACTTGGAGGCCCCACTTCAGCGCTTTATGGGGCTGATGGGTAGGCTCATGGCTGATAGGTGATTGCAGTTAGAAAAATTAACCTCTCTAAGCTGTGGATTTCTTATCTGTAAAAACGGAGATTTCTCATAGCAGTCACCCCCCTTCTCTGCTCAGGGCTCTAGGATGGCTCTGGCCTTCTGTCAGTTGCCGGGCTGTTTTCTGCCCCAGGGCATTTGTACCTACTGTTCCATCTGCCTGGAATGCCCCTGTCTCTCCCTGTGGCTGAGCCCTGCTATCTTTTAGGGTTCAGCTTAAATGGCACCTTCTCAGAGAGGCCTTCCTCAACAGCTCTACTCCATCTCCCGTGACTCCGTGTCACTACACTCCCTGATTACCTTCAGTTGCTAATGACAATCTACAGCTCTCTTATTTTTGAGTCCGCTTACTTGCTTCTTGCCTGTCTTCAGCTCATGCCATATAAACTCCAAGAGGACAGGAGCAGGGTCTCTCTGTGGCACAATGCCTGCCACAGTGTGTGTGTTCCACAAACAAGTCCAGAAGGAATGGGTAAGTCTTTCATGGAAGAACAGAGAGTGCTCGTCAAGCACCAGGCACAGGGAGAAGGCCCCATAAGAACAACAGGACTGTAAAGCTATTATCAAATAGGCCACCATGTAGCTGTGGACTTTACAAACGGCCGCGTGAGCGGTGCAGAGGCTAACAGCGGCCTTTCCATCCCTGGCACCCGCGCTTAGTCTGTGCTGTGTGACCCTCTCACCCAATCACGTAACAGGGCTGCTCTGAAGAAGCTGCCTCATTAAAATATGGAAATAGCTGTCACGTTGCTATCACCCAGCCCAAGCCATCAAGCACTCCAAATTGGATTTTGCCATTTCATACGGCACAACATACATTTGTTAACTTTTCAAACAGTAAACACCACCTGCAAAGTGCCTTTAATATTTAATGTAACTATAAATTGTTTTGAAAATAAATCCAGCCATGTGGAAAAGCAGCAGAAGGAATGGGAAGTGAATCCAGGAACCTGCTCTGCATGGGGACAGAGCAGGCTGCAGGGCTGAGCCTCCAATTACGGGTCAGGCACTTGGATGGCCCCAGCACTTTATGGGACCGATGAGTAATGAATGCTTCTCCTCGATGCTCTCAGGATTCTGACCTTATGACAGTACATATTTGGTTCTCAGAGGAGGTGGAAATCTACAGAGAGGGCAGATTTCCTCCACCTCCACCGGAACCGTCTTGTGGGGAGCACTGGTTAATGGCAACAGCCATGGCCTTGGTGGGGAGAAGTGTGTTAGCCATGAGCTCATCTGGCCAAACCAGCCTTTAACTCCCAACTGGTGACACTGCCCAGTGTCATGAGATGTATGCGTGGGGCTAGTGACCAGTCTGTGACAAATTAATTTGTCACTGCTCATCACGTGCTGTATTTGCTCTTTCCTGTTTCTTTGTCCATCTCATTTCACGCACTATATAGAACTTTGGAAAAGCACCTGTTTTCGCCTTCCTTCCCTCATGGGTCAAATTGGGATGCTAATGATACCTACCTCATTGCATTACTATAGGTTTAAATGGGTGACTGTCTGTAAAGTGCTCAGGACAATGCCCAGCACATGGGGCCATTTTTAAATGTTTGCTGTGCTGCCGCCACTGCTTCTGCCTCGGTGAAGAGACGTCATGCCACCTGCTCCCTGTGGCCCTGTTCACTCCCACTGTGGCTGTGCTGGCCACCACCTCCTGCCTGGTGTGCTCCATGCTCCCTCTTGCCACCAGGTCTTTGCACAAGCTCTTTCTTTCTCTCTCTTTCTTTCTTTCATTCATTCATTTCTTTCTTTCTTTCGGCTGGTTACTCTCTCAGCTATGGGCTCAATTAGCTATTAGGTTGATGCAATTGTGGTTTTTGCCATTGAAGGTGATAGCAAAACTGCAATAACTTTTGCACCAACCTACTGAAATGTTAAACTTCAAGGGGAAAGGCCAAGTTCTCTCTTGGCATGTCAGTGACTGACTAGATCTCAGGAGCTGGAACCATGGGCTCTGATTAGCCCACATCAGTCATCTGCTCACTTGTGGCCGGAGCCAGAGGACCAGGATCAGCAGCCCCATCAAAAGCCACATGCTGTGCGGGGAAGGGGTGATAGAAGAGAGCTGCTCTTCTTGGCAGACAAAACCATCATTGTTCATTACAATGAGATGTCTGTCCTGGCACAGTCACCCTGGAAACCGGGTGAGGACCAACTGCCGTCAGTCGGTGACCAGTTAGGCTGCTATTACTTTAATCCAGGCCGGAAGAGTGAAGCCTGATGATTTGCATTACTTTGAGACATTTTGAAGATGCAACCGAGAGAAGAAAGAAGATAATTCTGAGGCTTCTCATTTGATATCCAGAAGAGTGAATGACATCACTTGTGTTTTATTATTGGCCTCATATAATGCAACTCACAAAACTGGGTGATTATGGAGGGACCTGAGACAAAGGTATCCAGCTCAGACAGGGAGACAATTTTGGGGGTGAAAAGGGAGCCTAACGTCTCTCAATTCATACCCTTTAAGTAGACACAGACATATAATGCTGGCACTAACTCGACTGATTAGTAAAGGGGTGTTAATGCCATGCTAGCCCCTGGTTGACCCCTTCTGGCCAAATTCAAAGCACATGCATATTACATCCCCTGGCTCTCTTGATTCTTCTGAGCTTGGCCAAGACTCTGGTGTGGGTCCGTCTTAACATCTGTACCCTTGACTCCTGACTCTCCCAGGGATCTGGCTCCCTTTTGAGTAACTTCTGAAAAGCCACTGACTTCTCTGGCTACCGTGATAGCCCAGATGGACCCATGTGCAGATGCTCTGTGCTCTGCTTGTCCCTGTGCTATCAGACATCTCAAAATAGCATGCCCAAAAGACCTTGGTTTTCCTTCCCAAACATCATCTTCTCATCTAAGTAAATAACACCTTCACCAAGATCCTCAAACCAAAAGCCTAAAATTTGAATTCCATCGTTTTCTTTCCCCTACACCCAAACTACCAATATTTCTGGCTGGCCCAGTCTCTCCCCAACCAACATATAACCCCATCAAGCCCGTTCTCTTCTAGTCCAGAGGCTGGCAAACTTTTCCCATAAAGGGCCAGATACTACCATGTACTATCCCCACGGCAGCTAGAATGGTCTCCAAAAAGTAAGCAGCGGTTGTCTCTCTGTGGCTTAAATGTGCCCAGTAGCTCCCCATTGCCCTTACGTGAAAATTCAGTCTTTCAATACTGTCAGTACCCCTCCATGACCCGGTCCATGCCTCCTCTCTGACCCCACATTCTGCCCTCTCCTTGTCCACACTGCTCCAACCCCCTAGTTTCCTTTCTACTCACCAGAAACTCCAGCCTCTTTCCCTTCACTCTTCCCTGGGAACATTCTTCCCCCAACAAGCTCTCCCCACATCTGGGTTCCTTCATCCATCAACTCTTGCCGACCGGGCACAGTGGCTCATGCCTGCGATCTCAGCGCTTTTGGAGGCTGAGGCAGACGGATCATTTGAGGCCAGGAGTTCAAGACCAGCCTGGCCAAATAGAGATGACGAAACTCCATCTCTACTAAAAATACAAATATTAGCCGAGCATGGTGGCAGGCACCTGTAATCTCACTACTCAAGAGGCTGTGGCAGGGGAATCACTTGAACCCGGAAGGCTGAGGTTGCAGTGAGCCAAGACCATGCCACTGTACTCCAGCCTGGGCAACAGAGAAGACTGTCTCAAAAACAAACCGAAAACAACAACAAAAACTTCTTGCTTCCCTGAAGAGAACTCTCTGAGTCTTATCTAATGTAGCCCTGTCTTTTCTCCATTGCCCCATCTGAAATTATCTTATTTGTTCAACTGTTTGTTGTTCATCCTTCTGGAACATAAACTCTGTGAGAGCAGGGACCTCATCTGTCCTCTCAGCACACATATCAGCATGCCGTAAATCCTCAAATAGTTGCTCACTGAACAAAGACAGCCTCCTGGTCTGCATTTCCAGGCAATGCCAGATGTCTGTGCACTTCAGATTTCTCCAGCTCTCCCAAGCCCTTCCTATGCTGGCTCAGAAAAGGCCTGCCAAAGAGCTCATTCCCTGCATGTGACAAAGTCTGAAAAAACACGCTGCTTGTCTGAGTCATTGCGCTTGTCCAGGGACCTCTGTGCAAACTGATTTGTCATCGCCAGCCCAAGCCGATAGAAGGGCTGCTCTTCCAACAGCTGGACTCTACACCGGGGCCTCTTTAAACAACAGCTGTGATGTGGTGGAGAGGCAGTGGGGAGGCCGGGTCCTGTGGAAGCTCCCATGCAGGAATCCTGCCGTCTGTTCCCGGTACTCCCTGACATGTGGTAAAGCTTACCAAGCTTAATTTCCTAGCTTCTAAAGTGCCCTCTCCTAGGCGCTGTCATAGCTCTCATTTGCTCTCCCTCATTGCCCCAACCCCTCCATCCCATCTCCCCTTTTCATCAGGGCATTGAGACCAGAGACTGCTGGTTGCTACCTAAATGCTTTTTGTCCCTCTTCCTTGGTCATAGAAGCCTGATTTTGTTTAAGAGGGTGATGAACCCAGCAAAGAGACAACACTCACCCACCTTTTTTTCAGTTAAGGTGGCCAGGTAATGATGTCTGGCTAGTAATGTATAAATAGAAGTACCTCTGGAACTTCTGGGAAGAATAATGGAAGGAGGCTGACTCAGCCACCATCTTAGTCTGCTGGGGCCACCATAAAAGAATGCATAGACTGGGAGGCTTGCACAACAGAAATTGAGTTTCTCACAGTTCTGGAGGCTGGAAGTGCAAGATCAGGGTGCCAGCATGGCCAGCTGCTGCTGAAGACTTGCTTCTTGCTTCCTGGTTTGCTTTTCTCCATGTCTTCACATAGGGGACAGGGAGAGAGAGAAGGAGAAAGAGAGAGGGAGGGGGAGGGGGAGGGGTAGAAGAGGAGTAATATCCTTTGCCTCCTCTTGTAAGTCCACCAATCCTATCAGATTAGGTCCCAACTATTGTGACCTCATTTAACCTTAATTACCTCTTAAAATCCCTATCTCCAATATAGTCTCATGTCAGGGGGAGGTTAGGTCTTCAATACATGAATTTAGTGGGGACACAATTCAGGCCATCACAGCTAAACCTTACATCATTTAGTTCCTCCTTTCCTTCTGCCTTCCTCCCATGTGGAACCTGGATGTGATGGCTGGAGCTTCAGCAGCTATATTGGACCATGTGATAATCTTGAGAATGAATGCCAAGTGCTGAGGGTGGAAGTGCAGAAAGATGGAAAGGACCTGGGTTGACTTTGTGGCACCATAATATTATCATGGAATTGTTAGGAGTTGCTTTGTGTCAGCTCTGGTTCTCAACCACACTGTATACTGGAATAACCTGGGGATCTTTGAAAAATACTAATGCTTGGATGTCACTTGCAGAGATCCAGATATAACTGGTCTTTTGGGGTGTGGCCTAGGTAGGCATCATGATTTCTTTTAAATTTCTCCTGGTGATTCTAACATGTTAAGCTCTAGAACACTGCTAAAGAAAAAACCCTGGTGTAAGGGAATCGACTCTGTTTTAAACAATGGTATTTTAGTTTTGCTATGCAGACTAACCCAACTTCAATCAGAAATCTAATTCTAGAAGATGAGTCACTTCCATCATTTAAGATTTTCAGAACAAGCAGGGCCTGGTCAAATCCTACCACATTCAAGAGTAAATATGCGTAAAGCTCAATTGACACCGAATGGTAACAGATCTGTGCAGTATTAAGTACAATTTTTTGTCCCTTCACCCACATGAATAAAACAGTGTGCAACTAAAAATAAACTTCAGAATGAAAATAAGCACTCAAATTCAAAATAGTCCAATGTGGCACTTCTGTCAACAAACATGTTTTCCGAAAGTGGAAGCCTTTGGCAAGGCTCATTAGAGGCCAGTGAACTCTTCTTTCCTGTGACCCAAATGTCCCTCCTTGTCCCCAGCCCAAGTGGGAAGAGCTCAAGGGAAGGAGCTCCGTCAGCTGGTGAGAGAGCTGGCTTAAACTAAGCAGGTACCAGGGCTCAAATCTCAGCATCATCACTTACACCTCAGTGCTCTTGGGGAAGTCATTTAACCCCTCTGTACTTCAGATGTTCGCTGTGCAAAATACAGCTCATGATTCTGCCCAGGACTCAGGACTGTGGCAAGGACTAAAAAGCAATTTCCAAAGAAGCACTTAGCATGTGCCTAGTTCATAGTAACTGCTCAGTAAATGTCAGCCATCATTCTTAGGCATGGCTAGCCACTCTTCCCGAATGATGTGTCCTTCCTCTTCATTTCTGGAAAATGGTGCCAAAACAGGACTGCTTTTATGAATAGGGTACCAAATGAGCAAACACATGTCGGGAAATAAAGGTAATTCATCCCTAGGGAGATAGCATCTCCCAGGTTCAGGGGTTAATGGGCTTGGAGGATTCATAACAAACGGTGCCCGAGACAAATTGGCTGATGGAACTGAGCAGCTATTGTTTCTCAGACAGCTCTTCAGCTGTGGCTCATTTATTAGCATGGCTGCCGGAGAAACAAATTAAAAGGCAAGCCCCTCAAAGATAACAGAAATTGAGTGCGAGGGGCAAAACGCCCTGAAAGTTTGAGCCGGCGACAGAGAGGCCATGTTTCTTCATCGGCTGCCAACCTCCAAACACTGAACTCTGGAGGAGGCTGGACGGGAGCCAGCCTCTGACGGCGTGTGCTCCCCTCGGTAAATACGAGAACTGCCAAGTCCGTGGAAAAGCACTTACGGATTAGAAGCAAACACATGGCAAGCAGGACCCTCTGCAATCATAAAATGCATCGTGGAGGAAGACGAAAGGAAACAAACCATTCTCTTTGGGACTGTCCATCTGGAAGCGTGGAGCCAGGAACATTATTACATATAAATGTGTCCAGCCCACCAAAGTCTGGGAGTCACTGGATGTTTTCCTCCTCCTGGAACCTTGGAAGAGCTCTGTCCACAAACGCAGGCTTCTGCAGCTGCAACAGAACCCTGGTGCTGGGATACTCTTCTGCCCTTCACTCCCTGTGGATTGGTTTAACCCATTTTCTAGGGAAGTCTGGGGAATGGTGAGGGCTTCATACTCCAGAAGCTTTGTGAGTTGGGGTGTGAGCCTGGGAGGGAAGACTGGAGGCCTTGCAGACTGTGGAGTATGTGGCCAGATGGAGCATTGGCCTCTGTGGGCACATGGCTTCTACTAAGTTTTTCTAGGTGTGACCCTGGAAGCATTTTTATCCTGGGGTGCTGACTAATAGAAGAGATTCCTGGGTTTTACTTCAGACCCCAGGATCAGCCTCTCTGCAGCTGAGTGCAGGAATCTTAAATTTAATATCACTTCTTAGGTGATTCTCATGCACGCTAAGGGGGTGCTTCTCAAACTGGAGCATGTGTGTGCCAGCATAACCCTCAGAGCTTACTAAACACACTGATGGTAGTCAGAGTTAAACACAGATTGCTGGGCCCCACACCAGCAACCATCAATAGGGCCAAGGCGGCACCTGAAGATCTGCATTTCTAACAAGTTCCCCTGATGCTGGTGCTGCTGGTCCAGGGACCACACTTTGAGTAGCACTATAAGTCTGCAAACTCACTGAACTACAGAATTTGCTCTCAGGCTGAGCAAAGTTGAATTTGTCAAGAAACATGTACACAGCCCCAGTTGAGTGCAAGCACCCTCTATTCCTGGGCATCATGGCTTCTGGGAGCCAAACCTTCATTCCTAAGTCCCCAAAGGAACTTGAAGAAGTTTGAGTTAATGACTCCAGGAGGAGTTCGTGCTAGGACTTTCCTTGCAGAATGGAAGGGCCTAAATAGTGGCTCTCAACTTTGAGTGAGATTTTAAGCACTCTTGTGGGCTGGGGAAGAAATTTTAAAGTAACTAAAGTAGTGTATTTGGGTGTGGGACCTGAGTATCATCTGGGTTTTTAAAGCTGCTCTGGGGAGTCCAATGTGCAGCCAAGCCAGAAAACCTAGCACAAACGTTATTAACTCTGACTACCATCAGTATCACCCAGGGAGTGGCTAGAAAGCATTACATTGGGCCCCACTCCTCCCTTGTGATTCTGACTTGATGATTTAGGGTGGAGCCTGGGCACCGGCATGAAAACAAAAGTTCTCCAAGGGATCCATAGTGCACCTAAGGGCAGGGATTCAGACCTGCCGACCTAGTGGAAAGGGACTCAGGAGCAGTAAATCCTGGGAAGGCTTAAGCAGTGGGATAAGTCAGAGACTGGCGCTGATTCCTTTGGACCACCACAGTAAATGACAATTGCAAAGCAAGTCACAACTGGGTAAAGCAGTTTTATGAAGTGCAATCAGAACAGAATTCTTGTTCTTACCCCAGAAAGAGCTGCACACTCAAACTCTCTTCCTTGCTGGCTTGGGCAGGAATTTGTTGGAGGGGAAGGAAGGATAGAAGCTTCCTTTGCAGATTTCAGACGTGCCTCCACTGGGATACACAGAGCAAGGGGATGCCCCTGCCAGCTATGAAGCCCTGTGCAGCTGGGTTTCTACAGCTCTGCAGGGGCCCAGGAGGAAGGTTTGCTGGAATTACTGTCCCATGTGACTTCCTTTCAAAAATTAACTTGCAGATCCCTGGGTGCGATGTCAGCTTTCTCAACCTGGAAGTTGGACCCTGGAGCCTGCATTTTGAACAGATGTTCTGAGTAAATCCGATGTACATTATAAGCAGGGAACCATTTACATGAAGGTTCTACCTACCTGAGCAAAGGTGGAAGTTGGGAGAGAGAGGGCTAGAGAACACAGTTGATAGTTCTTTTCCACCTTTGGTTTCCCAGAGGTCTCTGTTGGACAAAGAGTCTCTCAGAAACACCCTTCCTTGGCCGGGCGCGGTGGCTCACGCCTATAATCCCAGCACTTTGGGAGGCCGAGACGGGTGGATCACGAGGTCAAGAGATCGAGACCATCCTGGTCAACATGGTGAAACCCCGTCTCTACTAAAAATACAAAAATTAGCCGGGCATGGTGGTGCACGCCTGTAATCCCAGCTACTCAAGAGGCTGAGGCAGGAGAATTTCCTGAATCCAGGAGGCGGAGGTTGCGATGAGCCGAGATGGCGCCATTGCACTCCAGCCTGGGTAACAAGAGCGACACTCCGTTTCAAAAAAAAGGAAAAAAGAAACACCTTTCCTTAAACATAAGAGCCTATTTACCAAAATTTACATCCAGGTCCAAGAAATGGAGCTGACTTTACCCATGCAGGGCTGAGTTTCAGACTCATCTGTCTCTGTCATGATGCATTTTTAAGGCCTTTCTAACAGGATGATCTAGATTACTGGCAAAGAAATGAATTTCTCCTCTCTCCAGAGAATTCTAAATCTCTTCACTGAAGAGTTAGACTGTCTCATTTCCAACAATGACACATGTTGAATGACCCAACTTTGGCCAATGGTCCTGGCCTGCCATGTCTTATCACAACAAATGTTCTCTTGTAATTTGCTCACTCCGGGGTTAGTAAGAATTTCAAACTGGGAGAGAAGGAGAGATAATTGTTTTAAGTCAGCTGACCTTGGCCTTCACAAGTTACCTCTGAAGTTCCGGGTTTTGTGAATGACCCAGAGATCCATGACCCATAGTCATGTGCTGTTTGAATGAAGCATGAATTTGGATGTTGTGCTTCTAGAACCATGGAGGGGAACTGGGTCTTGTAGCTGTGAAGCACCAGCACCTTAGCTTTGTGGAACTTAGGACATGGTGGGAGTTCTGTTTCTTTGCAAAAAAACGGTCATATGGTTGAAGAGAAAGTTTCAGAGGATATAGAAATGACCATCACCCTGTGGTAGGAGAATGGCACTGGGTGCTCACAGAGCTTTCCAAGACATGTGGAGGAAACCAGGAATCTGCGTCAGCATTTCCAGTGCTCCAAATTCAGGATTGCCGGAGGTCTCAGAATCAGTCCTTTCAAATATCTATGAACCACTGTGATCCCTGAGGGTTTCAGAATCAGTCCTCCCAAATATTTATGGAAAGAATAACAAATGTTCACATTTATGGAGTGATAATTACATGCCAGGCAAGGTGCCAAGAGCTTAGCACACATCATCATCTGTGACCCTCACAGCAACACCCGAAGTGCGTACTTTTATGATCATCATTTTCTAGACAAGGGAATTGAGCACAGAGAGGTTGTCCAGTTTCAACAAGAACCCACAGCGGCAGAGCTGGGATTCAAACTGACAAACAATCTCTCCTTGCCCAGACTTTAGTTCAGCAACTCTGAGCCCTCTGTTCGACTAAGCCTCAAACATGGCCCCTGTCCTGCCCAGCAAAAATCACGCCAAGTCAGTTTACCAAAAATGTCTTCACCTTGGATCTCTGATCACCCTTGATATCTGATCAATCTTCTTATCCCCCTCCTTTGATGTCCTTGACTTGCCTTTAACAAGAATCCTGTTGGTCAGCTTAGCAAGAATTCTCCAACTCTGGGTGTCTCCTCTTGGAAATTTTTCATGCACTGACTCCTTACTTTGCTCACTGACTATAATTCCCCACCTATCCTTTTGGTATTCAGAGTTGATCCCCATCTCCCTCCCCTGTTGCAATACCCCTACTGCAGTAGTCTTAAATGAACCCTTCCTTACCTTTTAAACAAGTCTCAGAATAATTCTTTCATGAACAGAACATGGGTGGTTGGACTCTGGTACCTGCATTCTTAATCCTTACAGTATCCGGCTAGACCGGTGCTGTCCAACAGAACTATAATGCAAGCCACATGTGTAACTTTAAATTATCTAGTAACCACATTAAAAAGGGAGAAAGTGGTGAAATAAATTTAAATTTTTTTCCTGGTGTATTTGAAATGGTATTTCAACATGTCATTGCTAGTATAAAAATATTAACGAATATTTTACGTTCTCTTTTCCTTACTGAATGTTTGAAATCTGGAGTGTATTTTACACTTTCAGCACATCTTAATTCAGATGAGCCACCAGTGGTAAATGGCTGCAGTGATGGGCAACACAGGGCTGGATCATCTCCCTGGCAGGCAGGATGCTTGATGTAGTTTGATCTGTGTCCCTGATCAAATCTCATGTTGAAATGTAATCCCCAATGTTGGAGGTGGGGCCTGCTGGGAAGTGATTAAATCATGGCGTGGATTTCTTATGAGTGGTTTAGAACCATCCCTTAGGTACTATTCCATGATCATGAGTTCTTGTGAGATCTAGTCATTTGAAAGTGTGTGGCACCTCCGCCCTCCCTTTCTCTTACTTCTGCTCTGGCCACGTGACATGCCTACTCCCCCTGTACCTTCTGCCACGATTGTAAGTTTCCTGCGACTTCCCCAGAAATCAAGCAGGTGCCAGCATCATGCTTCCTGTACAGCCTGCAGAACCATGAGCCACTTAAACCTTTTTGTTCATAAATTGCCCAGTCTCAGGCATTTCTGTATAGCAATGCAAGAAGGGACTAATACAATACCTGAGTTGGAAAATTTGTTCATGGAAGTGCCTAGGGTAGAGGAAACACAGAGAAAGGAGGAGAAGAGAATGAGGAGACAAAGAACCTGGCTGGGAGACCTGGGGGGCATGCTGCCTGTGTGGCTGGAATGGAGAGATCATTTCAGAAGCAGGGTGTGGGGTGATTAGAACCAAGCAGAGGCTCTGAGGACATCTGTGTGGGTGGAATCCAGGGGACTACATGTGAGAAATCCGCTGAATAAAGATAGGGTTTTGGGCCTCCAGTCGTGAAGTGTTCCTGGGATGGAGGTGGAAAGTGACTTAGAGTGGATTGTGAGAAGAGTGGGGTAATGAGCAACCACAGAGGAACTGGCTCCAAGTCTGGGCCAGGCAATGCGCTGTCTGACTGGGAAGAGTAGGTGGGTGATGAAAGAGGACAGTGTCTCTCCAGCTGTCACGTGCACAGATATCACCTGGGGATCTTGTTCAAATTCAGGTTCTAATGCAGTTGATTTGGGATGAGGCCTAAGATTCTGCATTTCTAAAACCTCACAGGTCTGGCAAGGCTTCTGGTACATAAACCACCACGCTCTGAGTAGCAGGGACTAGGACACAGTTCATGCTTTGAATGGTTAAGTGGCACAGAAGGGGAGGAAGCAGAAACTTAGCAAAGCTCTGGAGAGCTTTTGGCTTGTGCTCTTTCCAAGCTGTGGCAATAATAACTGGCTTGGTTCCACGGAGTACCTACTATGTGCCAGGTCCCGTGTGCTGGGCTTTATACCAGAGATTAGCAAACAAGGGCTCATAGGCCAAATCTGGCTGCTTCCTGTTTTTGTGAGTAAAGTTTGATTGGAACTCAGCTACATCCATTCATTTATTTACATATCGTCATGGCTGCCTTCATGGTACAGTGGCAGAGTTGAGCAGTTGCAACAGAGTTCATTCACAAAGCTTAAAATAGGTACCATCTGGCCCTTTATGGAAATATCCTGCCGATCCCACATTTGCACATTATCTTATTTGATTCTCATCACAGCCCTGTGAGGTAAGTACTGTTGTTCCCTGTGACAGAAGAAGAGAGGTGTAGCAGCATCAGGGCACTTGCCCAAGGGCTCACAGCTGGTACAAAAGGCAGAGAAGTTCCTCATAATTAAGGCTAATGAAGGCCAATGTCATATTTGGTTTTCTGTTCCTGCGTTAGTTCACTTAGGATAATGGCCTCCAGCTGCATCTTCATCTTGCTGCAAAAGACGTGATTTCCTTCCTTTTTATGGGAGTGTAGTATTCCATGGTGGGTATGTCCCACATTTTCTTTATCCAGTCTACTTTTGATGGGCATACAGGTTGATTCCATGTCTTTGCTATTGTGAATCATGCTACAATGAACATATGTGCATGTGTCTTTGTGTTAGAACAATTTATATTCCTTTGGGTATATGCCCAATTGTGGGATTGCCGTGTCAAATGGTAATTGACCATTTGATTAGCTGTTTCCTGTTTTAAGTTCTTTGAGAAATCCCCAAAATGCCTTCTATAGAGGCTGGGCTAATTTACATATCGCATGTTTTCACTTACAAGTGGGAGCTAAACATTGAGTACACATGGACACAAAGAAGGGAACAACAGACATGGAGGCCTACATGAGGATGGAGGGCAGGAGGAGGGTGAGGATCGAAAAACTCCCTAGTGAGTTCCATGCACATTACCTGGGTGATGAAGTAATCTGTATTCCAAACCCCTGTGACTTGCAGTTTACCTATATAACAAACCTGCACATGTCCCCTTGAACCTAGAAGTTTAAAAATATGTTAAAAACATAAATTAATAAAAAGGAGGCCAGTGGCCAAGCTCTCTTGAATGCAGTAGCCTCATGGAAACAGGAGTGGCCTCCAGAAAGCAAGCACGTATGTGTGTGAGCAGCAGGAGTTTGAGGCAGACCCAGACACTGTTTTATGGAAAGGATATCCAGGGTTTCCTTCTACAGTGGCTTCTCTTGCACCCCACACCATCTTCCCTTGCCCACCTCTGAACTGATCTGCGACAGTGCCTGTCTCTTACCCTAAGCACTGGGCTGTCTTCCTACTGTGGGATGGTAGATGGTAGTTGCTAAATCCCCCAACATCCCCACCCCTGGTGGGACAATCCAAAGGCATGTTCTACACAATTCACCCAGGGGCCACAGTCAGCTTGGGCCCCACGTGCCCACGGTGGTCACCTGCTCATTATTGGCTTCCTTTATCCGTGCCCCCCACCTCACTCTCCCATTCTCCCACTGTGGGAATCACTTCTCAAGTAAACCACCTGCACCCAAACCCATTTCCAGTTCTGTTTTCAGGGAAACACAAAGCAAGACACATAGTTATGTAGGTAGCATGACAGCCTGTAAAATGCCTGTGGGCTTCACCTTTTACAGGTAAAGAACTGGGCCCCAGAGAGGAGAGCTGCTTGTCTCCGTTACACAGGTTCCTAGCCAGATCTGTCTGACTCATTCATTGATGAGTCCTGAAGCTCATTCTTTGAATATTCACAGTCGTGTCAGCATCATCATCGAATTCTCACTGTGAACAGATGAGGAGTCCATGGCTCAGAGGAGTTAAGAACTTGGCCAAGTTTTGCCCATATATTAGAATGGGGATTTGCACCCCCAAAGCCTAGAGTAAGAGGTGAAAACCTCCACAAGCAAGGTTGCGATGGATACGGAGCTGTCTCCTTGGGGGTGGGTACCCTGGTGTGGCCAGGCCATTCCTCAGCCCTGCCCACTGGGTGGGATAAACATCTTCCTCAACGACAGCTTCCACGGCCAGTTGCCATGGTTACCTCTGGGTACCATCTGAATAATGAAGGACAGTGATGGTAACCGCAGCCACTGTCACTGCCTCTGTTTGACATTCCTACCCACCCACCCCCCCCAAACCCCAATTTCCAGTACAATGGGCTGGAGAGTGGGAAGGGGCTAGGCCTGGTTGCTGTGAGAACAAAAGAGAACAGCTTTTTATGACCTCATCTCTAGAAATCCTGGGAGCTTGGCGGCTGCGCCTGGGAGTTATCAGTGCTCTGCTGTCTTCCCTCCCCTTCCAAGTTTCCCTAGCCACAGCGTAGGGAGGAGCCTGCCTGCTGGTCCACATGCTGCTGTTCATGCCTGAGCCTCTCAGGTACGATGATTATTCTAGACCCCCATCTTACCTCTCTCCCTTCCTCCGTCTCTTCCATATGCTCCCACAGAAATGCACTGTCTCATAAAGGATGTAGTCCTTTGCTGGTGTGCTGCTACGCCCTGGAGAGAGGCCTGTAGAGTGCTGCCTGGCCCCTCCTGGGGCTGTGAGTGTTTCAATGTTGATCCCCATCTTCTCATCTGTAAAATGGGGACAAGGGCTGTTGGAAAGATTAAGTAAGGGCAATAGCCAAAGCATTAAGAGCTTGATCCCTGAACTGGACAGACTTGTATTTAAATCCTGATGTCTCACTGCACCACTTCAGGCAAGTTAATTTTATGAGCCTCTGTTTCTTCTTCTGTACAATGAGGGTAATAGATGTATCCAGTTCAAAGGGATTTAATTTGCTAATGATTCTAAAGCATGGAGGCTTTCTTTGTCCCAGTGCCCTTGTCTGCTTTGTGACCCTCTAAGCCTCTGAGTCTGCAAAGGGCAATGATCTTTGTTCTCTCTTGTTCCCAACCAAGGGCAGTGACACAAGACTGTGCCCTTCACTGATAAAGAACAGCTCGTCTTCCAGCCGGATACGAACAAGGCAGATAAGACGCCTCCGTTTCCTCTCTTGACTCCTGTGGCTGTCACCAGCTTCTGATAAGATAGCACCAGCCGGGTGGGCCCACAGCTCCAGTGGGAGATTAAGAGCTTGGGGTTGACAGGGACAGGGTGCTTTCTAAGCCCGCAGGGGTGGCACCCTTGATCAGTTTGCGGCATGGGGCAAAGGTGGCAGAGCTTGACAAGGAGGAAAAGGGAAGGATCTGCAAAATTCCTTTCCCCCACCAAATTATTAATCCTTCCATCACTCCTTTCCATCAGCCCTCAAGATACTCTCACAGCACAGGAGGGGATCAGGGAGACGGGGGATTTCCCAAATCCATCATGAGCTTTGGGATATTTTTAAAGTCTCCAAGAATTTGAGTAAAAATGTACAAGTACATGTATTTCACTAGGGTGAGAGAGACCAGAGTATTCATTCAATTCTGATGGGCAGGGTTCTTCAAGCAGCAGCCCTGTCGTAGTGTGCTGGCATCTGTCTGTACCAACTTTCAAGAGCCCATTGTTAAATATTTAGAAATTCTGTGAGCCAGTGTGAAATACAACATTAAATACTAAATTACAGAAAATTACAATTAAATAAATTATACTAAAAATACTCATCATTTTCTAATTATTCTATTTCTCATTCCTTTTACCTATGCTCTTGTATCTGTAATACTACATAATGGTATGTTACGAAACATCTCTTCCCAACTTGATGTTCAGTGACACCACATGGAGAGCTTGAAATTGTCCATGGTGGGAGTATTTTCACCCCAGAAACTGGCAAATGCTACAAACCAGCCAGCCCTCTTCCAGGCCCCAAACCCTTGCTAAACATTTACCCCGCACCACCCACAACAGAGGTATCTGGGTGGTCTATTACAAATACAGACCCCAGAGCCTCTCTCTAGACACACTGAATCAAAACGTCTGGGTTTCGGGCCCAACAATCTACATTTGGAGAGCTTCCTGTGAGATTCATAAGCACACCAAAAACGCTGGGAGATTGGAAGGGAATAAGAGAGGAAAGAAGGTAGAAGGGAATGAGAGAGGGAAGGAGAAACGTGGAAGGAAAGAAAATAGGAGGCAGAAGAAAGAGTTCCCAAAATAACTTTTCCCAGGACTAGCCAACCATAGGGCAATTTTAAAGTGTGTGAAGGTTGAATTCCACCATCTACGCTCATTATTATTGTATTGAGAGAGACATCTGTTAAACACCCACTATGGTTCAGGCACAATGCTAAGTGCCTTAAATGTATGTTTCATTCCTATATCACCTTGATATAAAAGTTATTTATTGTTCCCATTTTAAGGGTGAGGAAACTGAAGCTCAGGCTAAAGTGCATTGACCAACATCCACGCTCAGCAAGAGTTGGAGGCAAATTTCAAACCATAGGAGTAGTGGGCTGAGCTAGCTCTAGTGGCCGGCACATGGAAGGGCCTTGGTAAACATTGGGGGGTGGTCTTATCCCAAGGGTGCCACCCTGTCTGAGCCATGTTTTCTCTGGAATGAGTTTTAAACTCATGATGATTTCTTGAATGCCATTAACTGTCTCACAGAAGCAAGAAGAAATGTAGCTCATCTCCAGATGTGTACAATGCAGACAGCACATCCAGGGGTCAGCATCTGAGAGATGTCTCACACTGAGGTTCAGAGAGCAAGGGGCTCTTATCACACAGCTCCTCACTGGCTTATCCCTCAGTTCCTTGGCTGGGCCAAATGCCTGCACTCAACCCATGTCGGTCAGAAAGAAAAGTAAGATGGTGGTGATCAGGAGCTCCCAACCTAGTCTGGCGAATTAATACAAAAATCAACCTGGGGCTGGGCGCGGTGGCTCACGCCTATAATCCCAGCACTTTGGGAGGCCGAGGTGGGTGGATCACAAGGTCAAGAGATCGAGACCATCCTGGTCAACAAGGTGAAACCCCGTCTCTACTAAAAATACAAAAATTAGCTGGGCATGGTGGTGCGCGCCTGTAGTCCAAGCTACACGGGAGGCTGAGGCAGGAGAATTGCTTGAACCCAGAAGGCAGAGGTTGCGGTGAGCCGAGATTGCGCCATTGCACTCCAGTCTGGGTAACAACAGCGAAACTCCATCTCAAAAAAAAAAAAAAAAAAAATCAACCTGAAAAATTAGAAACCCGACAGGAGTCAACCAAGAAAACCACCCACTATCTCTTCTAAGAAATTTAACTCATAAACATATTTAGTTAGGTTCAAGTTGAATGATGAAGAATCATTAAGAAAAAGGAAAAAAATATATTACAAAACGTATTTAGTTTGGGAGAGAGTAGGCAACTCTTGTGAAGGGGTAGGAGGCTCAGAAAGAAGTGGCGAGAGATGAAATGGGGAGTTAAGTTGAATCACGTTGAAAGGCTGGCCAGGATGGCTGACTCCAGAAGTCAGGGAAGGCTATAAGAGTGAAAATAAGTTTAAAAGGGCCATGCTTGGGAAGCCCTTGGGGGTCCTGGAAGAGCCCAGCTATGTTGGCATGGTGCTGTGGGTCAGTTCTGTTGGCAGCCTACATTGAGCACCTGGGGGCAGGGGTCAAGAGGTAGCAGCGAGCTGGGAATGCCCCTGAAAGGCCTGGAGCACAGTCTGGCCGGATTCCTCTTGGCATCCAAAGGACCTCAGGGCAGTGTTCAGCTGAGGCCACAAGAAAGCCTTTTCTGCTCTCTGCTCTCCATCATATGGGCCCCTAAGAGCAGGGGTTCCGCAACCTGAGATCTGTAAGCATTCTGCAATAAATGACAGCCTCACAGTCCGTTGAGTTGGGGAGTTGCTACATGTGCTGTCCTTTCTATAGAGATTGCAAGGATCGAGTTAAAAGCTCTGAAAAGTTCTGCAGACAAAAACACTTGCAAGTTTGTAAATCATTTAGAATTGCTGGAGGTAGCAGACAATGGCAGGATTCCACTCAGCACCAGATCTCTAATTCCTGTTTCTGCCCCACCCCTGGTTTCTGGGTGCTTTCACAAAAGTGCTCTGGAATTTACTTACCCTAGGGACAACCCTCCACTAGTGACCAATATGTCATCCTAGGTGGGGCAGCTCTGAGGCATCATTCAGAGCTGAGAGTTTCCCTGTGGGACCAGCCTAACCCTGTCCTCTATGGGACATTGCCCAGGATCAGTTCTTCCTTTGCACACGAGTCCTCAGCTCAGGATCAGCCTCTGGGGAACAAGACCTAAAACACCTGCTTTCTCCAATGTTCAGGCTGTTTGTGTCTGAAACGTCTTTCAGTTTTATTTAGATCTAGTATTCTTTGGCACATACTTTGAAAAACTCCTCCTTGGAGAAAAACCTCATCCCCTGAATTGATTTTCTGGAGAGGAAGAGCCTGGGAGCGGGGAAAGCCTCCTGTGGAGCCTATCGCTGGCTCAGCTCTCTCTCTGGAGCCTGTCAGTGCTGTCCTCAAACACTCTCAGGGTTTCTGCAAGAGGCCTGCTATGCTCTGAGTATGGCTTGTCCCCAAAAAAACTCACAATGAGGCCTGGTCCCCAATGTGACGGTGTTGAGAGGTGGTGGGACCTTTAAGAGGCTTTGGGTCATGAGAAGTACGTTTGCATGAAGGGAATGTACTCTCTCTGGAGGGACTGAATTAGTTACTGCCAGAGTGGATTGTTTTAAAGCAAGGCTGCCTCTTGTATTTGCTCTCTTCTGCACACCACTTCCCCTCGGCTTCCCGGCTGTGTTACGACATAGCACAAGGTCCTCACCAAAAGCCAATCAGATGCTGGCACCATGCTTCTTGAGGTTCCCAGACTCCAGAATCATGAGCTAAATAAAACTATTTTCTTTATAAATCATCCATTCTCAGGTATTGTTATAGCAACACGAAACAGACTCTGACAGGGCTGAAAAGAGATGTCCTTTGTCAGTGCCCAGCTTGCATTGGGATTTCAGGAGCACGCCTTTGGGAATTCAGTCAATTTGGTGACTGGATTTTTCAGGAAAGCATAATTTATCTTCACCACAGTGCATGTTTGTTTTTGGAGAACATGGTCACAGCCCCCTTTCCTACTGTCTTGAATCCACTTCTGGGCATTATGAGACTTGCCTGGATCAGAAAATCACAAATTCAAATGCCTGCGTTGGCCAGACAAGTAATGCAAATGAGTGAATCAGACCCGGTGTAAAGCAATTGGGAGTGATGGGGACTGGGACAAAATGGGAAGCACCTGATCCATCTAAGGGGGCAGCCGCCAGCAGCCCCAAGCCAATTGTCACTAGGCAGGGATTAAACACAGGTGCTAGGATTTTTTTTTAATAAGAGAAGCCAGAGATACAGATTTTATTTGAAATATCTTGGCTTTCTAAGATTGGCAAATAGTTCTTAAAGTTTTTTAACTGTGCAACCAAGCAGTATAGATTCACCAGCTTGATGAGAGATGCCAGGTTGTGATCTTGGTCTTGGTGATCTACAGAAGGTCAAAAGTACAGTGAGAGGAGAGATTCACTCTTTTTTTTTTTTTAATGGGTGGCAAGCTCACACTCCCTCACAGTGCTGTTCTCTCCCTTTGCACATGCTGGCCCATCTGCCTACTGTTTGCCTGGTTACCTCCTTTTCATCCTTTAGACTGGGGTCCACAAACTCTGATCTGTTAGGTCTGTGGCGTGTTAGGAACTGGGCTGCACAGCAGGAGGTGAACGGCAGGCCAGAGAGTGAAGCTTCCTCTATATTTACCGTCACTCCCCACCACCCATGTTACCACCTGAGCTCCACCTCCGGTCAGATCAGTGGCCACATTGGATTCTCATAGGAGCGTGAACCCTATGGTGCACTGTGCTTACAGGGGATCTAGGTTGCACATTCCTTATAAGAATCTAATGCTTGATGATCTGTCACTGACTCCCAACACCCTATCACCCCCAGATGGGGCCATCTAGTTGCAAGAAAACAAACTCCAGGCTCCCACTGATGCTACATTGTAGTGAGCTGTACAATTATTTCATTATACATTGCAGTGTAATAATAATATAAAGTACACAATAAATGCAATCTGCTTGAATCATCCCAAAACCATTCCTCCCACCTTTGTCTGTGCAAAAATTTTCTTCCATGAACTGGTCCCTGGTGCCAAAAGGGTTGGGGACTACACTTTTGACCACAGCTATCTCCTGACTCCTCAGATGGGCTTAGCTTTCCACAAGCACTCCCACAGCCCCTGAGCCTCCCCTTTTGTAAGATTTATTCCATTTGTAATTACTTGTTCAAAGTCTCTCTTCTCTGCAATTCTGCAGGTTGCTTAAAGACCAGAACTGTGTCTGTCTTGTTCTCTGTTACATTCTCAGCACTGGGCCCGATGCTTGAGCCAGAGCACCTGCTCAAAATGACGCTTTTCATGAATGAAAGAGTAGAATGCCCAAAAGGTTTCCCTAAGGTGAAAGGAATATTCTACACTCATCCCAGAGGATTCTACTGCCTCCTTGGAAACCTCCTCCAGGATGGTGTCAGGCACTCACCTGGATTGTTCCTGTTTTCCCAGGACCGACGCCCAAAGAGCACACCGCGCAAAGCAGAGCCACAGCTTAAGACTGTGTGCATTGTGCTTTGTGAACGGAATCCCCTAGAATGAAAGATGGCATTCAACACTCCTGGGGCCAAATATTCTATCTGTTTTAGTGAATAAAGTTTTATTGAAACACAGCTATACTCATCCATTTGTGTATTGTGGATAGCTGCTTTCTTGTTAAAACAATAGAGTTGTATAAGTGAGGCAGATCTTGTGTGGGCTGAAAGCCCAAAATATTTACTGTCTGACCCAGTATGGCAAAAAGTTGCAGACCTCTGCCTTGGGAGTTGGGCAGTGCCCAACCTGCACAAGACATGTTGCAACCGCGGTGTTAAGTGTTCCTCAATCCAGATTCTGAGAACCATCAACTGCCTGGACCAGCCACTTCCCTGCAGGGTTTGTGGGTAGTGACACTTTGTCAGAAGCCCCAATACCATCAGCCCCCTCTCTTCCCGCCCATGGATGGAAGAGAAGCTGGGTAGAGAAGGGCAGTAACATTGTGGGCCCACTGCAGCGTGTGGGGCAGCAAACTCCTCTCTCCTTTGCATACCCACCTCTTAGAAGATCTTAGAAGATGGTGCATGTGGAGCATGTCAGAGAATGGTGATAGTCTCTTTGGCCCAAAGTTGTCAAACTCCAGCCCAGGAGCTCCTGGGTATGGAGAAAGGGACAAGAAGGATATGAGACAGTGACTCTAGGAGGGGTGGAGTTGCCTGTAGGCCCACCTAAGGGCCTAGCAAGGATACATCAGTCTTCCACGGGTCTGCAGATCCCAGTGAAGGTAGCTGGGCTTTTCCCACCAGGAGCGCCACTCTCTGAGCACAGGGACTTTGCCACTAATGTCTGCTGTGAAGTTGATGGCCCAGAGCAAAACCCGGGGGTGGGGGAAGAGGAACTTGAGCCAGAACCAGATTGTCTGTGTCTAGGCTCTATGCAGCAGGGAGATCCCCCGTGGGTTTTCCAAAGAACCAGCCATTTTTTGTTGTGGTTATTTAATCCCGAGTCCCACACCAACCCAAAACTTGGTAGCTTAACAAAACAACTCAGCATTCTGCTCATGAATATGCAGATCGGGAAGTTCTCAGCAAGACAGCTCCTCCCTGATCACTCAGTATCAGCTTGAGTGGCCCCAAGGCCAAGAGCTGGGCCCTCTCATTCACAACCCTGGTGGCGAGTGCTGGCCCTTCTGTGGGGACCTTGGCTGGAGCTGTTGCCTAAAATACCTACACATGGCCTTTCCATGCTTGGCTTCTGCACAGCATGGTGACTGGTCCCAAAGGCAAAGATTCCAGGAGACAGAGCCAGGTGGAATTTGGATCACATTTTGTAACCTAAGTCAGAAGTCACACTGCATAACTTCTGCCACATTCTGTTTGTTAGGAATGAATCAGCAAGCCTGGCTTATATTCAAGGAGAGGGAAACTGAAGAGTCTATGGGTCTGTTTTAAAAGCTCCACAAATATGCTTCACCAAGAATGAGCCTTTGGGAATTGCCCTACAGAGAGCCTGGCAATGATGATAAAGAAGAAGGAGACATCCACGTCAGCCCTGGGCTGCAGAAGAGAAGAGGAAGTCAGTTTTCTGTCTCTCTCCCCATCACCCGGGGGCTGGGGCTTAGCGGGGAGAACAACCTCTGGGGCCACTTGCCGTCCCTCCCTGGGAAAAAGTGGGCAAGTTTTCAATCAAATATGAGATTGGAGCTTTAAAATGAATAGAGCAGAGCCTTAAGATCCAAAGTAAGACCATGTTAATGATCAGCAGTGGTGGAAAGTTACAGAATGGGATTAAAAGTCAGTTAAGGAATCATTTACCATTTGGAGAAGCAGGGACAGATGATGGTGGATGTCCACACTGTGCTGTTCATAGCAGCAATTGCAAAAGCAGAAATTGCTCAGATTTATACCCCAATGTGGATAGGTTGAGACATCTCTCCAAATGGCTTCATTTCAAGGCCTTCATCAGTAGTCTGATCCTTCTGCAGTTTGCTTTTCAAGCCCTAAATTTGGGGAAAATTGGAAGAATTGGATAAACGATCTCTAGGGGTCCCTCCAGGACTCACAGTCCCTGATTATCTTGCTAACAAGGACTGGGCGCTGACAGCTTACGACGGAAATGGCCTCTAAGAATGTGTTGATTTAATTAAAGAATCTTTCAGTACAGAAATCATAGTAGTATCTGGAGAAATTAGCTCTGTTCTCTGATTTCACTGAAGTGGAAGTATTCACGTATGATCTTTCCCAGCCTCTCTTCTCTCCCTCTCCCTCCCCTTCTGTCTTCCTTCTTCCCTCAGGTCCTCCCTCAGCCTTTCTCAATCTCTGTCTTATACACACTCAGAGTGGTGACTTGAGGAGAGACTTTAAGAAGCTTCCAGCAGAGCACCAAGCTTCTGCCCTGTGTCTGTACTATTCAAGTCCATCTTACAGCCCCTGTCTTTCAAGGTTTGCTACTCAAAGTGTGGTCTGCGAACCACCAGCGTCACCTGGGAACCTATGGGAAATGCTGAATCTCAGGCCTGATCCTGGCCCCAGCAAATCAGAATCAACATCTTAACAGGAGCCAAATTCAAGTAAACATGAGAGTTTGAGAAGGGCTGTTTAAGGATCCCAATTCCTCACCTCTACTATTCTTCTTTGCCTTTCTCAAGACATCCTGAAGTACATGGTCCCCTATGGTTGACTCCCCTGCATTTCCGACCCCTCTGGGTCCCTGACAACCCCTTTAGAGCTGGCTCTCCATCCATGCCTAGGCATAGCTCACCTTCAACCAATACCTGGCAAGAGTCAAGCCCCACTTCCAGCACTTGGATCTCAAATACTCCTGATCCAACTCTGGAGAAATCCTGGGTGGAAATCCTTATGGGAAATGGCTTCTATTCAGGTGGCATGCTGTGGAACACCGTTGACATTTCTTTTGAATCCAGTCTGATTCTGGGACACCTATAGGAAGGTTTCCTAACACCCTGCAGTCATTTTCATCTCCCTGTGTACTTCGGGCTTTAGCTGATGTCAAAAGACCTGTCTCATTGTAAATCTCAGAAGCATTTCTGTGACAAGGTCGCTTGCCTATAGCTATTTGTTTACAAGCTAAGTGAGCATTGGGAAGGTACCCTAACCACCCTTTAGTGCCCTGGAAATGTCACACCATTGTGTCTGGCTATTGTACAGAGTTTTTTGTTCCTTTCTCTCTTTGCTTTGAGGACATAAATACCAATGGGGCGGGGGAATGGTTATAATTTTAGACACCCACAATTTTATACAGTTGGGAGGGTGAAATGCTTTCATCCAACTGGAAGAAATACCCCAAACCCTTCCAGGCATTTTCCATTTTAAACAAATTTCAGCTTAGTGAAGTGACATCCATCTACAGGTGGACTCAATTCACTTTTAGGGCCATTACTGAAAATGAATTGATGCCCATTGGGTCCCTGAGATGGCCCACTTTAAAAGCAGGGTTTCCAGCACCCATGAACTCTAAACCTTAGTCAAATAACCACAATGGGCATTTTTGAAATGCCTGCTTGACATTTGCTAAACCTGGTAGTGACTTTTAATTATTCTAAGTTTGGGTTCCCATGAAGAGCCTGAGCCTGCAGCCCCCTTGGATGCAGGGGATTTACTTGAGGGGTGATTCTAGGAAGCAGCAGTATGGAGTGAGTGACTGTCTGGTTCATATAAGGAGGTTTCTCAAAATTCCTGCTCCAGGCCCCAGAGCCAGCTGCAGTGGGTCCTTGGAGAAGCATAGAGAATGTCTCTGAGCCCTGATTGACTGCTTCTAAGCCTAGTTGGTAAAAGGTTGCACTCGGGGGCATTAACTCCTCTGCTGTCCTGGCCTGAGCTTTCTGCACTGGTCCAGCAGGCTGCCTCAGCACTGAAAGCCCTAGAGCAAAATACAGAAAGATGTTTCCAGGCAAAGCAGGTGAGTCTGAGTTCAGCCAGAATTGCTCACCTCAGGGACATCCAGGGGCTACTGCCACACCTCTCAATACCTTTACAGGATAGGTCTTCTTATTTCTATCCCCATCTTCAAGCTAAGGAGACTGAGGCTCAGACAGGTGAATAGTCTGTCCAGCGAGGAGGCAGGGGCAGGAGTCTTAGCACAGGCTGTCCAGCTCCACAGCTCTCTTTGGAACCTGCCACCCTGTGGGGCAAAGGACTGGAGGGAGATCAGCCATTCTGGTGTGCCCAGGAATGTGCAAGTTTTAGCACTGAAAGTTCCAGATCCCAGGAATCCCTTAGTCCCAGGCAGAATGAGATGCTTGGCAACCCTCGCAGGTCCCTCTGCCTCTTCAGCTCCTGGCTCTCCCAACAGGCTCCCTTGTGAGCAGCAACAGACGTGTGGCTTCAAGATGGCCTTTCTTCTCTTCTTTTGCTCCACTCTGCATTCTGGTAAGGCTGTTTCTAAGTAAGACCCAGATAAAACTGGCTTTCGAGTGGTGGTTTCCCCTGAGTAAACCTTTTATGTAGAAGGTGGGAGACAAGAAAGTTTTTCTTTCTTACTTCCTTTAATGAAGCCCTTTTATTCTACTGGTGGAGGGTGGGTTGTGCGGTGATGACTGTAATTGAAATTTGGTTGATTTCTTTGCTAAGCATTTGTGATCATTTTATTGTTTTATAGGGGTTTTTCTTTAAATGTGAAAGAACATGTGTGTGCCTGTGCATGTGTGTGTGTGTGCCTGTGTATGTGTGTGTGTGTGTGTGTGTGTGTGTGTGTGTGGAATGCACACAGGCAAATACATAGTAAATCTATGTATATTAGTTTTCTGGGGCTTTCCTAACAAAGTACTACAAACTGGGTGACTTACGCAACTACAAGTTCTTCTCTCACAGTTCTGGCGGTTGCGAGTCTGTGACAAAGTGTGTACACGGTTGGTCCGCCTGAGGTCTGTAAGGGAAGGATTTACTTGTAGCCTCTCTCCTTGGCTTGTAGATGGATGTCTTCACGTTGTCTTCCTTTGCGCATGTCTCTGTGTTCAAATTTCCCCTTTTTATAGGAACCCCAGTCATATTGGATTAGGGCGCACTTTAACAACCTCGTGTTGACTTGATTACCTCTATAAAGATTCTGTTTGCAAAAACAGTCACATTCTGAGATACTGGAGGCTAGGATTTTGACATATGAATTTGGGGATACACCATTGAACCCAAAACACTGTGTCACCCCTGTGTGGGGGTGATGAAAATGCCCAGCCCACAGTGTTGCCATGAGGAGTAAGATGCAGCCTAATTCAGTGCCCCTCAGTCTAGCACATAGTAGGCATTTGGTCAATATTTGTCAAATGAATGAAACGTATGAATTCACGTTACAGAATTGAAGTGATGATAACGAATAGCTAATGGTTTAAACAGATAAAGGAAATACGAGTGGTAGGTGCTACCCCAGCTGGGGAGGACAAAGTGCTGTGATTCGATCTGTTTAGGATGGTTCTTTGGGGATCCCTTCCCCCAACATTGCGGGTCCCACTGGAGCTGACCTGAAGTGCCCTGTCTTCTCCATGCAAGGTTAGAACTATGACCCAGAGTGGCCAGTGACAGAGAATTGTATCCTCTCTGGCCAAAGTGATGTGTTTAGTGATGGGCAGGGGAGCCACAGGGCAAATGATTCCTCCTTAGTACTAGCATTTGTGTGAGGGAGAGAGGGCCCTGTTTTCTACTGGGTTTGTGAAACTGGAATTAGGTGCAGATGGCAGTCACTGTCTCAAGCTGCATAGGTGGGCATATGGAAAAGGACAGAGCTAAGATGTAGGGAAATGTACAGAGAAGGAGAGAGCAAACTTAGGAAGCTGACAAGATTGGCTGAGACCCTGGATCCAGCTATACCTGAAGTGAGATCCACTCTTGAATGTCAGCTACGCAAGTCAGTAAGTTCCTGTTGGGCATGGGCACTTGCAGATGCAGGATTTCTGTCTAAAAATGGATATGAGCAAAGTAACTAGGAGCCCAGAGGGAAGTCCCACTGACCAGGGGAATCAACTTAGGTTTTCTGAAGGACGTGATATGTGGGCTGTCTCAAAGATAAGTCAGTTCTCACTCAGCAAAGGAGTCCAGGGCATTTAGCGTGAGGTGAGTGTGCGGATGCAGTGTTAAGGGAAAGGGCAGGGTTTGCTCAGGGCTGGTGAGGAGCTGGCTGTGGTTGGAGCTGGGACATGTTATTGGGAATGGGGCTATGGCTGGAAAAGTCAGAGATCACAGAGAGCTGACTGCTGTCCCTAAAAGCTGCCGTTCATCCATCAGACTCCTCTCAGCTTTCTTCTCCCCCTTGGGGCTCATGACCTTGGGGAAAAGGCATGAGAATGGGAGGAGCTGTTTGAAAACAGAAGCAACTCAGTCTCCAGTCTGTAGAATGGGGGGTACCCATTTCCCCCACATTCCTCGCAAGTCTTAGTGCCCAACCTAAAGAAGATAAATGAATGGGAGAGGCCAGTTCACGGGGAGGCAGAGGACCCCTCTCTGCTCAGGGCCCATGTTTCCCAGGTCAGAACACTGTCTGACAGGTACAGGTGGGCAAAGGCCCCAAAAGGAGACTCACCACCTCGTGGAGACCTCAAATGCTCTATCACCATTTCCTTGTTAACGGAAAAGATGGGAACATGGCAGAGAAGTCAGGTGGGTATGGTAGACAGAATGACGTTGCCCCAAAGATGTTCACATCCTTTCCCTGGGACTTGTGAATATATTTCCTTCCATGGCAAAAGGGACTTTGCAGATGTGACTAAGTTAAGAGTATTGAGGTGGGGAGAGGAGCCTGGATTATTGCAGTAGACTCAGTGCAGTCACTGCTATCTTATCCAATGGAGGCAGTAGGGCCAGAGTTAGAGAGGGGGATACTATGAGGCTGGAGTGATGTAATTGTTGGAAGGAACGTGGGCATGCCCTTAAAGCTGGAAAAGACAAGGAATGGATTCTCTCCCAGAGCCTCCAGAAGGGATGCAGCCTGGTCATACCTTAATTTTAGCCCATAAGAACCATGTGTGGACTTCCGAACTACAGCACTGTAAGA